TATTACTTAGGAATTACATGTACCTTTGACAGATAGGAATTCCGGGCCTAGCTTTGCTCTCTTATGCAACAACAGCAACTGTAAAAGACGATAAATAATGGGACTCGTAATACTTTAGAAAGCTGCTTCACGGTATTTCAACTTGTTCTGTAGGGTCTCGAAAAATTGTCGTTACAGTGATGACTCCAAAAACGAAATGGTAGTTTGTGAGAGGGAAAGTCTCCAAAATGGAACTACTAGATGAAAAAGGAACGAGGTTGTTGAACGATAGTCGAGACCGCACCAACCGTATTGTATCTCCCTCAACTTGTTTTTCTTTGTTTTTTTTCTTTGCTTTCTTTAGCTGGAGATTAAAGCACAAGTGGAAGAGTACGCAAGACAAAAAGCAGAAGAACACGCTATTTTACAAGCAGCACGACACGCGAGACATCACCAAGAAAAAGAGGCAAATAAAATAACCGCGGAAGAGGCAGCGAAAATACAAGAAAGGGTGAGTATGATTTGTGACCGTAATGTGATGCAGAAAGTAGGTGGATCTTACACACGCTGACGGGGAAAGAGCGTGTTGCGTGACATTAAACAAAGGTTGCGAGCGGGTTTAGGTAGTTGCATATCATAATTTATGCAGAATCTTTTACTTGTATTGCTTCAGAGCCAAAAGATGTTAGATGAACGAAAAGCCAAGTTGAAAGTGAAGGAGGTTCAGAAACAAGAGAAAGAAAAAAGGCTCCAGAAACTAAAAAGTCAGGTAACGGATTGTTTAAGTAAGCAAGGGAAGCAACAACAGCAAAAAAGATTTTTCTTGTATTTTTCCCTCTCTTTTTATTGGAAGGAAGGTAAAGCCTTGTAAATTAGATCAGACTGAATCTCTCATGGAATCTTTGTCTCAGTCACATGTCTAACACTTTGCCTCTGACCCAGGTTGAAGTGAATGTATCTCGCGACCCATCTCGACTGTACAAACTTACTGCTGGCTGGGAACAGAGAAAAAAAGAAGGGCCTGGGACGGCTGGACATGGGCCCAGTCTTCATATGCCACACAGGTATGCAACTCTTTTTTTCCCATACGATCCGACCTCCCTTTGTAAGAATATTTTTCTCAATTGCATATCATAAGGAACCCGGGAATCCATTGAATTTGTTGTTCTGTGCGCCACTATTGACCGAGCAATTGCCATCCCTTCAACTAATGAGAGGAAAAATTGAAGCCAGTCGCGACTTGGTCTCTTGCGTGTCCCACGCTTTAGGCCGCCCACGTTTCTTTGCTCCAAGCTCTTTATTCCCCGTGATTTTCCCTTTGCTCTGACTTGCCGTTGTGATAACTTCGGTTGTAAGCTTGATGGTATACACAAGAGTGATGGTTGAAGAAACAGAAGAAAACAGAGATTCGTGTAATCAGTGTTTGCAAAGTTCTTTTAAATTAAATCAGTACTGTTTGATTTCAGGGCAGTCCCATCATGGCGGCAGGGATTATCATGACAGCTAGCTACTTTACAGAACACTCATCGCCATTCTGAAGCCCATGGACTTACGTTCTTTTGCATTTTTGATCTTTTTTCAACATGTATTACAACTACCTTTCCGCCATCTTTAAAACGAAAATTTCGATGACTTTATCATCTGTGGAATGTGATTCCATTCTCATATCGGGTAAGCTTAAATTCGCTAAAACGTGGTCAAGAAAGAGCCTGCAGAACAACCGTCATCTGTTAGCGAGGCGCGCGGAGGTAAGCGCGAGGCAAGAGACCCTCGCAAGGTCATTTTGTTCGCGCTCCTCCCCTCACGCGTCTCTCCTCTCGCGCTTACCCACTCCCGCCATATGTTGATAGCTCCTACAGCTTATCAACATGTGAACGTTAATCTTGTTAATCGCGTTAAGAGGGGCACTGTTATTTCACTTGCACCTCGTAAGAAGCTGCATTTGATATAAACATCTTCTGGAGGCCGTGAGTCTTCCAAAGCTTGGAGGTGGGAAACAACCGAGTTGATAGTGTACAGTTTTAAATGAAATTGTGAATAAAATAATTATTTATGTGTCAAGGGGTTTTAGAAATAATTCTATACTATAGAGAAATTCCCATTTCCCACTCGAAGCGCAGTGTTAAGAGTTCTATTGAAAGTTATTTTGCAATGAAAAATATCGTCGAAGACGTGGGAACACCCATCACAAATTTTCCAATTCTTCTCTTGTTTTCCTTGCATAGATATATTGGATGATCTCTTTACTTCCACTCGTACCAAAGCCGTTTTAAAAATGGTATTTTCTTAGTGAAATGTACTATTTCTTTTTGAAAATATTTTCCACATTCGGCCGATTTTTGAAACATTAGTCTTAAATCCTTTGAAAACGCACCAAACTCTCCTTGTGTTCTTGAAACCGAGATTTGTTTCTGACCGTGGCCGCGATTTAGTGAATAAGCTCGTTGTTTCCGTGCCTTGTTTGTAGACACTGAAAACATAACGATCACTAAAAAATTCTGAACTGCTAAAGAACAGAGCGTTTTATTCTGTAATCACTTATAGATGTTTACAACTCTCTTCAAAATATAGAAGTGAAAATCTCCCAACTTTGTAAGTAACGTTAAATTAGACTAAATAATTGTTAACCATTGCAAAAATCTCTCCTGACAGATTTCAATAATTTACAAAACATTCACAATTTTTTTCTTATACTAAATATCATTGTACTGATTGTTACATACAGATTCTAAGGGTTCTTCTTGAAAATAAATCGACTTTAACACAAAAATGACTCTTACAAATTTGAACAAAACTTACACTGTTTAGGTATTTCTTCATTCCTTCTTCAGACTGAAATTATACATTTACAATTACGTTTCCCTAAATTACGACTAATTTGTCTTCGAAACAAGCAATTTTGCGACAGAATTTTCAATTTGCTCAAATTCTTTTTACGGTTAAGGAATTTGCCGATAATCACCAATCAACAGTAACAAAGGATGGCATCAATTTCTTTGGCCATTCGCTAATCTCGTACCCAGACTTTCCACGATCAAGCAGTGGTAAAGACGGTAGGAACTGGGTGTGAGATCAGCCATTCACAAGAGTTTCCCTTTTTTTTCTTTTTGAACTACGGTGATCTTTACATGGAATGTGGTAGATATGGGTAGGTTAATTTCCATCATTAAAACATTTCTGCGATTGATGATTTCTCTGGATTAAATTCGACGAATATTAATGACTTGTTCCGTACCAAATGACTAAATGGGTTACATAGATGCGTGTGACATGAAAAATGCATTAGTGGTGAATTTCCATTAAATGTGGATTTTCATTATAATTTATATCACGGTTGCTGTCTGAGATTCCGTAAGCTTAGAGACGGATGATTAAATATCACTTGCGATTTTAAGTTGAATAGTTTTCAAATCTCGTTACTATATTTACACCAGAATGCTGAAAATTACGACAACTTAGAAAACGCTATATTATCAATCTCGTTTTTCTTTAAATCTTTTCGATGTAGTTACTGGGAAATAGTCCCTCGCGGCCATTCAGTTTCCCCGTCCACCATCCTGAGGGATCTGGGAATAAAACACAGATGACAATGTTAGAATCTGAGGCCAAGTGGGACCAGCATCAAGTACTGACCATGATTGGTTATAACCCTCCAAAAAGCACACAACGTAAGACAGAAAAACTTGGTCAAGTATACGAATTCGAGGTGAATCTTAGGCTGCATGAGTATGGTATTTTTCATCATCTGATGTTTAATTACAAAGTCCCACCAAAAAAAACATTAAAAAAATTCGGGTCAAAACTTTCTTTAAAGCCGATAAGAGCTAGTCAAATCAGGAAAAAAAATTTCACTGCGATCCTTTTTTTTTACTCCGAAAGTGTAGCAGGAAGCCTCGATCCTTGTTTTCCCCGCTCACGTTACAACACATCAAAATGAGGCCACTGACCACCAAATCAGACTACAAACTTGTTCCCAGGCTCCTATGCAGAAAGAACGAGGAACCTGAGCACGACTTTGCTTGTTTTCTTGTGGTTCTTACGACGTGGACATATCAACCTGCTCTACTCTGCAAACCTTAGGGAACCCAATTATCATACCTAGCGACTTATTACATGAGGCGTTTCGACTGTTTCCTACGTTATTTTACCTTCTTTAATAATTTCAATGATTTCGTCCGGTTGAAAGCTCAACTCTTCAACGTCGGTGGCGTCGTAAGGCCATAGTGTCTTACACCGGGGTAGGGACGGGGCTGGTTTTGGCTTAAGCCTAGGTTTTCCTGGAGCTGGAGGACGTTTCGACAGGGACTTTTTCTTGGAGTTTATCCTTTCGATACTAAAAAAAAGGATCAGATTACCAAGCTGTCCTTTATAATAAGTCAATAATAAACCAGGTACAGAAATCTTGAAGAAAAAGATAAATGTTGGGGAAGTTCTCATGTAAACACTCAAGAAATATAACACAAGTAAAACACAATCAGGAGTTGTCCCTAGCACTAACGATTACGCCAACCGTGGTCATGTCAATGGTACAAAATGTACTATAGTCAAAGACATCCGCGAAGGGTTCAAGTCAGGTTAGCTCATTCAATTGTCTCTACATCACAAAGCGCTTTTCGATTGCGTGTCGTAAAATCAACACCGAAGCTATAACAACGACCAACCAAAGCATGGAAAATCTCACAAGTCTGTGAGAACTAAGAGTAAAACCGAGCAACTTACTAAAGCGCGGGAAAACGAGGGTGACGCGATTCATTTTATTTTCTACTGGTCGAAAAGTGGCGCGAGTTTCCTGAACCAATCAAATAACGAAGTAAAGTAAAACCAAAGCAATTCTGGATAACTTTCGACCCTTAATGGAAGAAGTCTCAAACATATTGACGTGGGGTGTCGGGAATATCTCAAAACCTGCGAAGAA